TATTATTATTATTAGTAGTAGTAGTAGTATTATTATTATTATTATTAGTAGTAGTAGTAGTAGTAGTATTAATAGTAGTAGTGGTAGTATTAATATTAATAATAAAAATAAAAATACTATTGTTGTATAAATTACATATATAAATGTTATAAATTACATGTATAAATGTATGTAATAATTTATAAACACATTAATATATATAATATATAATATAATTTCACACTGACACAGACACCAATATTTCATAATTCCATACTTATCTGAGCAAATATAATACTACTACTAATAGTAGTAGTAGTAGTAATATGAGAATATTAATGATTTATTTTTTTTATTTTTTTTTTATTCTGTATTTAGTCATATAAATGTAATCTTGTAATTGTATAATAATAATAATTATTATTATTATTATTATTCCCAGATAGTTTTCTTGAAATAAAATTAGATTTGACCTTCAGTTCATAATAATAATAATAATAAAATCAAAAAGAAAGAAAGAAAGAAAGAAAGAAAGAACTGCCTGGAAATGTCATGCAAATTACTAATGTTGTAACTTATTAATTTTTATTTCAATTAATTTTAGCATTTTTACATTTCTGTGCTGATTATACATATAAAAATTCCATGCACTGCTGTATAGAGCTTATGAATAAAACTTTCATACACTCACAAGACTTAATTTATTTATGGAAATTGGTTGCTCAAACTGTGGAAAGTCAGAATCTAGGGAATGAAGTGTCACATGCATGGTTTGTGTTCCCGCAGTCGTCCTGGTCTGCTGAATGCCAGTGATTCGGGATACCCCTGGCTCGCTGACTCCTGGCCGGCCACCAGTCTGACTGTGAACAGCGGTTCTGGAGGACCCAACGACCTCAACAACTTCGGCCGTGGAGGTAAATCCACTCTCAGACCCATTGCTGCATTGGCTAGGAATTTAGGACATATTAAATTGGTGAAATCGGTTGTAGTCAAGAGTTCAAAGTGTTAAAAGCAAGCTGTCGCCGTCAGTTGAAAGAAAATGTCCTCTTCCCCTTTTATATTCATGGGCGATGATTCATTCAGGGTGTCCTGGTGTTGTCCGTAAGATGAACACCTGTATGCATATTGCATCGGCCGTTTTTGGATGCACACATTTATTCATCATGCGCTGGGACAGACTTATATCGCCACCCGCATCCTGCTGTCACACTGAAACGAATGGCTGTGGTTCTGACTTGTTATATATTTGTATTAAGTATTCTTGTAGTTGTATATATTTATAATTTCTATTTCTACTATTATTATCATTATCATCATCAGTATTATTATTATTGATTTAGTATTTTAAAACTTTCTTTATTATTATATATATTATTATTAAGTATTCTTGTAGTTGTATATATTTATAATTTCTATTATTATTAAGTATTCTTGTAGTTGCATATATTTATAGTTTCTATTATATTATGTTATTTCTATTATGTTATTATTATTTCTATTTCACATAGCCTTAGATACCAAAATGTCATAATTCCAGAATTATTTTAGTATTATTTCTTTGTGTGAATTTGTTGGGGTATTCAAAAATGTAAAAATTGACTTGAATCTGAAGATAAATAGATAAATACGTAATATTTCAAATAAAATACAAATATATCAGACTTGTTGTTAAAGAGCACTGAATTGAAATGCATTGAAATATTTTGTTCTTGAAAAATTGACATAACTTTTTCACCATATTAACCTCACAATCTTGTTCGTCTTCCTTGTATTCCATCTTCCCGTTCCACTCAGACGTGATGCCCAGCGCCCAGGCCGATAAGACAGGCACCATGCTTTCAGACGGAGCCATTTACAGCAGCATCGACTTCACTACCAAAGGTGGATTCGGCAGTCCAAGCCCCGCCTCCCAGGCCACGCCCTACGCCACCACCCAGATCCTCCATTCCAACAGCATTCACGAGCTGGCCGTCGATCTGCCTGAGGCCCAGTGGAAGACCTCCCTACAGGCCAAGCAGGAAATGGCCAGGAAAATTAGCACTAATGTATGTTGTTAACCTCTGAATGAGACACTTTCCAAAGAAACTAGACAAATTGAGAGATTTGAAAGCAATTAGGGCTCTGTTCCAGAGCCTAGTGAGCTGCCATGCTGTCTGCTACCTAAATAGGCAGCATCCTAACCGAAAGAAAGAAAGAAAGCCTTGTAAGTGAATGATTTAGAACACTTTATCAAGGCAGCGACTTGTATATTATAGTATATTATGTTATATGTTATGTTATGTTATGTTATGTTATGTTATACATTTATTTTTATAGAATTTTATATTTAATATCATTATAAATAATTTAACATCATTACTAGTAATACATTTATATAGTTATATTTTATATATCATATGCATTATAATTATTTATAATAAATATATTACAAATAATACATTTAAATACTTTTATTTGAATTTTATTTGTTTTAAAATAATAATTTTAATCATTTCATTTTCATTTATTTTTAAATTTTCCAGTATTGAGTCGAAGCATTGTTAAATTAGAAAGAATAGGATTTTTAAATAGAATAGGAGTTGTGTGTGAGATCAGTGCTTTGCTTGTTGCTCTAACTGCACGCCCTTGCATGCGCTTGTGCCATCTTGCCCTCCACCTGATGCCACTTTTTTGCCCTTCGCCTCCACTAGCACTCCTTTTCATTCCTGACTACCGATTGGCTGACGGATTGTGTAATAGAATGCTGCACAACCAATCACAGGATTTCAGCACCACCAGCTCCCACAACAGCTCAGATCGGAGCAACAGTCTGTCAGGTTGGTATTTCACCGGTCCAGGGTCAGCAGCCCACCCGCATCTTTCCTTCAGTCTACCCCTCTCCCCTTTCACCTCCACTAACCGTGGTGCATACGCCATGACTCCTGCTCTGTACTGTTGATAATATGGGTTTGTGTAATAACTGTGTTCCTTGTAGTCAAGTCGACTGGATCTACAGCCATTGTGTGAGGGCCTGGACAGAAAAGTCCTGGTTCTAGTGGGTTTCTAGTAATAAAATATGATTCTGGTGTGATATTAGGCAATTCTGAGCACTGACCTTTGCATAATGATTACATAAATTCATCCTTTAACCCTCTGGTGCTGTTTTTTTTTTTTTTTTTGCTGTTGTTGTTTTTTAATGAATGTATGATATTTTAAGTCAATAATGTTTTTTTTATTTAATATTTTTAAAGTACTACTATATTTATGTAATAGTTATGATTCATTTATTACCTGTTCACCACAAGCATAACATTTCCAACTTAAACTGTCATATAAACTTGAATGCTTTGCTTGGTCTCTTTTTAAAGAAGACAACTGGCAGATTACTGAAATTAAAAAGTGAAACAAACAAAAAAGGTTAATTATTATTAAAAATGCACAAAAGTACTATTTGTACATTTATATGAAATATATATTTTTCCAAAATATGTTTTACTCTCAAAATGCATGAAAATCAAAGCCATAAATCTAAACAAGTTGTGTTCCAAATTTGATGTTGATATCTCAAAAAATCCGTTTTCAGTCAAATTTTGTTTGGCCGCAGTACCAAACACTCACTAGATGAATTTCGCTTCCTATTCATTTCCAGTGCAGTCATTATTGACCATGAACAGTACGACTAAAGTACGACGAAGTGTGACTATTTTTTCAGGACCATTTAACTTTTTAAAATCATATCCATGATTTTTTGTGTTCACATAGCAATGCCAAAACCTTTACCAATTTTCCAGTCAGAAATGACTGAACAGCACCAGAGGGTTAAAAGGCAAAGTTTAAAATCACTTTTCACATGTGAAGGGGAAATGGCGCATGACACAATCCATTCAACCTTTATCTTCTGGCTCGGTTTGACCTGTTGCACACGCTGTAATTCCGGCAAAGCATCTTTTGACATTGTCATTAACCCTGTGTTAACAATGTCAGTGTGTTTTTGATTTAAGCAGAGGTTTGTTTTGTCATAGGTTACTGTTGCAACATAAAAGAAACCACTCGGAAATGCACACATGCACTCGAGCAGCTTGATCTGAGCCGATTCCTCCCTTTAATGGTTACAAGCTACAATAAAATTCATGTACTGAAAATTACAATGTCATTTATAGGACACGGAGACGGCCCCCATCCTCTCGTCTCGCTGTCCATGTGGCTCTCTTTCTCCTCTCTAATCAAGTTTCATGCCAGTGCTTTAACTGTGCAGTAATCCAACGCAGCCTCAGACATTAGATGGGAAGCTCTCCAAGCATCTGGCTCAAGTGTTTCATGGGCTACAATTAGGACTCCAAGGGTAGATTTAGGTCAAACATCTCAACCTCTTCAGGCGAGGATTGTTTCGAAGATAGAGATCAGTTGACCAAATCGAAACATTCTGATCTTGTTTAACCGTTGTAGAGCATTTTAATGGCTGTAATGATATAATGTGATATGTGACATGTGTAGCAACCTGATTAACATGAAAACTGTTGTCGTATTTTATTATTTAGCATTCAGACAAATTATACAGATCATGCTTTTGGAAATATACACTACCATTCAAATGTCAAAATACAGCAAAAAGAGTAATATTGTGAAATATTATTATGATTTAATTGAATATATATGTGTGACTGCACCACAAAACCAGTGATAAGGGTCAATTTTTTGAAATTGAGATCTATACATTAAATAAGCTTTCCATTGATGTATGGTTTGTTAGGATAGCACAATATTTATCCGAGATACAACTATTTGAAAATCTGGAATCTGAGGGTGCAAAAAAATCAAAATATTGAGAAAATGGCCTTTAAAGCTGTCCAAATGAATTCCTAACCAATGAATATTACTAATCAAAAATGAAGTTTTGATATATTTACTGTAGGAAATTTACAAAATATCTTCATGGAACATGATCTTTACTTGATATCCTAATGATTTTTTGCATAAAAGAAAAATCGATAATTTTGACCCATACAATGTATTTTTGGCTGTTGCTACAAATATACCTGTGCGACTTAAGACTGGTTTTGTGCTCCAGGGTCACATATATATATATATATATATATATATAAAGTGGAGAGACTAAATAAGGGTTACGTTTACATTTCCAAAGTAAAAGGCCATCACATTACGCTTGATTGTTTCCAAGCAAACATGTGTACTTCATTTGTTTGCTGAGGATCATTTTGGCTTACTATCCCAAATAATTCTGAAATATTTATATCAGGGAATTGGTGTATCTTTTCAACACAGAACTTTTTAATCTGTTCGGTGCTTGATACTATTTTTTGACAAGTCAGGGTCTCACTTTATATCAGAGATCATGTCACTTTTAGCATCTGATCAGGTTTATAATGAATTTAAATTTGTTTAAAGTACAGTAAAACGTGTTTCACCCACTTTCAGAGGGCATGTTTGCTGTTGCACGTGTTTTGAGCCAAAATTCACAGCCTTCCTTAGAAAAACTGAAAAACTCTTTTCCTAATCAGAGACACATGCATTTTCACATGCATAAAGTCTTTGTACTGCCCCATTAAAAGCAAATGATTTTCAAATACTGTTATTACTTCTTTTTCCCACCATAACATAGAATTAGATCATAATTCATTGTACAAGATAGAACAGGTCCGAGTTGAGCAAGCTCTCATTGATGTGTTAAAGGTGTGCAACTTTATAAGTTATGAAACATTCCTTTGCCTCTTCGTCGGCCTGGTTTGGGCTAATTCAGAAAGCGACCTCATGTTTGTCAGTCGAGCCACTGCTGTCCCACAGTGCCCTTCCTGTCTGTTTTCCTCACATTTCTTACATTGGTAGTTTCAGGAGCTGCCCCGACTCCTCAGCAGAGACTCGTTTACATTATTGATGCCCTCTACTCGACAAACAGAGGGAGGAGGAAAGAGAGAGGAAGTGAGGGAGTGATTGAGTGATCACGCCATCTCTCCATTTATTGGCTGATGATATTGGCGTCACCCAGAGGAACGATTAGGAAACCCAATTACTTCCAGCCACTTCTGCCTCTAGCCTGTTGTTATTTTTTTTATTACTAGCATGCTTTATTCATCTTCGTTTGACACTTCCATCCCTCCGCAAGACTCCTAATGCCTCCCGCTCTCCCTCGGCCGTCGGAACAATAGCGCACCGTCAGCGAGAAGTTCCGGCGATGGGAACGCTCTGTAATAGGCCGACTGCCGAGAATATCATAAACGTCAGCCACTGTATGACAAATCTGCCTCAAACTGTGCATAGCTACAATACTCATCCTCTTGCGCCTGCTCTTTCACACTTGTTTTTGTTTTTCTTAAAGGAACAGTGCACCCAAAAATGAATATTTTGAAAACACTCTCTTTCATGTTGTTCCAAACCTGTGTGAATTCTTCATTTTGACACACAATTGTTTTTTAATCATTGTACTGGTTTTCCCTTTCTGGTTGCTCTCTATGTACTGTACGATGAATGTGTACTGAGTTTTCAAGCAAAGGACAAAAAAAACATCATAAAATGGTCCATATGACTCTATTTCAAGTTTTCTGAAGCCATATGATAGCTTATGAGGAACACACATTTATTCAGCAAACAATCTTTTGTTTTAGTATTATTTATATAATATTAGTTTTAGTGTTTTTGTTATTTAGTTTTTTTTTTTTTTTTTTGCTTTTATATTAATTTTTTCTATTCAGATTCTTTTTTTCATCTAATATTTATATTTTATTTATATAAGCTTCAATTAATAAAAACAATTATAATAATATTTTATATTTTAGTTAACAGTAACAACACTGACTGAACTCAAAAGCCAAATCAGTCCATTTTGTGAGCAATATAGTTAGGCATGGTTTTATGAACTGTATCAATTATTAATCATTTGGTCGAACCAGTTCACAAATGCTGGTCTGAACTGGGTTCTGTGAACTTAAAACACCAGTTGTTTGAAAAGATTCAAAAGAGCGTGTCTCATAAACTTAAATGCTCCAAGAAGAACTAGTTATTTATTATCACTAAATTATTATAAAATCATAAAGTACAATTCATAGGGACCTCTTTTATGTTTCATTTGCATCTTTTTTTTTTAAAGCGTGACAGCCTCAGTCTTTAATTCAACTCACTGAACAGCACAATTCTTCAAATCTCTTTATTTGGTTTTCACAGAAGAAAGAAAGTCGTATGGTTTTGGAACAACATGATCGTTTTCATTTTTGGGTGGAATATTCCTTTAAGATCCAGGGAAGATAGTCTTTTCATAGCCCTTGAATGTGATTCAACATGGATTTTATAAAGAGTTTTTTGGACTTAATGTATAGCCCTGTCAAAGTCCTGGCATCATATTAAATAACATGATGTTTGAAGCCACAGGGTTGCCTGAATCGGAACATTTCGAGGCGGCAGGGATAATTAGAGGCCATTGGCAGACAGAGGCAGATGATGACAGATAGGATCCCATACAGCACAAGTGCTGCCAGTGAAGGTTTTCCCCCCCATTTGCATTTGGCCGTGTGTCTGACTCCATCAGCCTCAGCTATTTTATGACTGGCTTGAAACGCGGGAGGATCTGGCAACATGCGGCAACGCACTGGTCATGTCGAGTTTGCCAGTGGCGGCATTAATAATTTACAGTAATGAACCCTGCAGCCTCTGCATGAAGTCTGCATGAAGACTTCCTCGTCCCAAATGTCTTCATCTGGCATTGATGGCCGTTACATTTAGATGGTTTTGTTAATTAGATTGTGACAGAAGGGTGATTAATTACTATCCTTCGTACTAGTTCTTGGGCAAGTGTGTGATTTGCCAAATCTTTTGTCCAGGGAGATTGTGGATGCAACATAAAAGTTCAACAAAGCAAAGGGAGTTCAACAGCCTTTTTTCTTTCCATCTTTGACACGTTCTGTTTCTTTCCCAATACTTTTTCTAAGAGTAAAGAAAAGTGCACATTCATAGAGTAGAACCAGAGTTGTAAGCAAAGTTATTCCAGCAAGTTGCATGAATAGCAATCATAGTTAAAAGGAGGTCAAAGGTTTTTTCAGTATTTTTTTAGTCTTCAGTCTTTGAGCCATTGACATACTGCAAACTGTTTCTTTCACCACGCAGCCTTGAGATTGCTTTTATGGCCGTGTTGGCTTGGGAACATTTTGAAAGCAGTTGGAGTTGTACATTCTAACATACAATTAAGCAATTGTGTTTGACAGTGGCATTGCAAGAGCCTTCACTTGGCTGATCACATGGCATCATTCTGCATTCAGACTTTAACAAAATATTCCCAACTTTTGCTATTGTAGGTGGGAAAGGCGGAAAGAAGAAGAAGACCAAAACAAACGCCAAGCCCACCAAGATGAATGGCTCCAACTGGGCTAATGTTCCACTCCCTCCCCCTCCTATCCACCCTCTTCCAGGCACAGAGATGGACCACTATGCCTCAGAGCACCATGACGGAGGAGGGTAGGGTTCAGAGTCACTCATTCAGCTCTACCTAGTACAAGTAATAGAGACACTCTATACTGCAAATTCAATGGTCACATCTATAATATCTAGAGATTATGATCCATGTAATTAAGCATTGGATTTTTCCCATCAAGTGATAAAAATGGTGGTTTAAAATAAAACCGACCATGATGTTTGTAAGAAATTGTTCAAAGTCTTGTTCTTGCTAGCTAATATATTATCAATAAATCTGCTAATGGTATTTATTTATTCCTTAGAGAGTTAATCAAACCACTAGCACTAAATGATTTATTTGTTGTCCATTATAAATAGGCGAGATGTAATATTAAAACCCTGTTTGACAAACTGTTCACGCTCAGCAACTTTTAATATACTTTCACCTACGATGGCACTCCACTCTTGTCTGACATCAGCATCGCCCCATCTGTACAGTTAAAAGAAAACATGAAGGTGGTGATACAAATTAAATACCCTGCCGGAGAGGTGTGCTTGCCTTTCAACCCTGTTAATTTCCATCTCTGAGAGTCATCAGGCTTAATAGGCTCTCTGGCAAATGAGTAGTCTTTCCGCAGTAAATCTCGCCACTGTCTTTAATGGCTTCAGATTAAAACTGTTATGTCCTACGGGATGTGCACTGACAAATTCCTCTAATGAACGTTGGCTTTATGTCATGTATTATTTCAGCATGTATAAGCACAGTTCTGGGAAATAAGAAAACGCAGCCACTCTGCCAGATCAGCCTGCATTAAAGAACAAGTAAAGCTGAGAAAATCCCACTAGATTTAACCCAAGATTTACATCATTACTACTATGTTGCTAAACCTTAGTCTCACTATATCAATAACGGTTGGCTAGACTAACATTTTTTAAAAAAAACAAACAAAAAAAACAATATTCCTTTCTCTCTTGCCTAACACACAACTGTTAGTGGGGTGCCACAGGGACCTGTTTGTGGTCTGTTTTCATTTTGTTTCTATGCTCATTTGTTTCAGATATGATAGTGATGGTTGGGGCCCACCCTTGCCCGTGCAGACGTACCTCCATCAGGGTTTAGAGGATGAGCTGGAGGAAGAGGAAGAACGGGTGCCCACTCCTCCCATAAGGGGTGTGGCCTCCTCCCCTGCAGCAGTTTCCTTTGGCAAGCAGTCCACAGCCACACTGAGCCCATCCCCACGTGAAGAAATACAGCCCATGCTCCAAGCCCACTTAGATGAGTTAACCCGTGCTTACCAGTTGGACATGGCTAAACAGACTTGGTAAGATCTCGATACACTGGATAATATAAGTGAATTTGATTTAAAAAATGTACAGTTTAATATACTTGGGTATAATGCAACACTTACATTCCAAGTTTGAGCACCTCTTCACTAGAGGCACTAAATGCAATTGTAAAATATAAAAATGGCTATTTAACATTGAAGATTCAAAGAGCTGTTTTTTTTCTTCTTTTCTTTTACTTACTGTAACTAGCTTCCTTTTTACCCGCACAAACTGAATTAAACTGAATAAAAAAATATCAGTTTTTATTGCACCACATTTGTTTGTCATTGTCAATAGAAGCATGATTTAAATGAAAAAGGTGGATGTAGCTGAATTAAATATGAAAACAACTGATAGTCATTTCTCCCAGACTGCGTAACGCATTCTTATAAAGCCCCTATGCCAAAGCCATGCTTCAACCTGTCTTTCCAAGAGAAACCAACTTCCGTTTATTACAGTCGGCACTGCGAGGAAACGGACTCTACTTGTCAGGAGGAAGATGTCATGTTACCACCATAATGAGTATGTTGCTCATAGAACATTTGTGACGACTGGGAAGAGCCCATAATTATATACAAATCCTGGCACAGACCGCATCAAAGCAGCAGCAGCACTGCACAAACACACATCGATACACATATATATAGACACACAGTAGGGCTGTCATCGAACCTAGCTGTCTAGTGGGTGACAGCCGCAGCAAAGACATGCCTGTGGTGGTTGCCATTGTATCCTCTTCAAGCTGCAATTAATAGGTCATTGTGTTAGCATGCAAACCGTGGCGCTGCTGAATTAGCCAAATTGTCCCAATTCATCGGAGAGATGACAAGGAATGTTCTAGGAATACCAAATTTCACCTGACAGACAGCACACCCCATGCATTTCTCTTTTGTTTAGGCTTGTCACTCATTGACACCCTTTGTTTCCTTCTGACAACCCTTGAAGCTCTTGCTTGGTTATGCAAAAAAGCGTGGCATGTTCATGTTTGACTTCTTGAATTCTCCTTAGGCACATGCAGGGTGGGCCTTACCCGCCCCTGGCCCCTGCACCGCCCGTGGGTTATATCTCCAGCACCCTAGTGTCTGATATTGAGACAGACCTTCCTGACGAAGATGACGATGAAGAGGACGAAGGATATGAGATGTCGCCGCCAATTAGGGGCATCGAACACACGCCAGGCTCCAGCATGGACAACTTGGACAGCTCTGTTACGGGTAAGCGTACATTTTTGTGATTAATTTCTCATTTATATGAACTTCTACTTTGAAGGAACATTCTAAAGTTCTTCAAAAGAGCATAAAGCCCTTATCTAAACCTTTGAACTATTCATTTGGGTGCACAGTTAGATGTCCTGTGTAGACTGCGTTTTTTCAGTGCAGGGGTGGTCATTTCATTTGCTCATTATCTCATCCGACGTCCTCGTAATTGGGGGATTTCTATCTCTGTTAAATAATTTCAGAACTCAGTTTGAACCCGCTCATGAACGGTAGAGACAAAAATCGATATAATTTTTTTATTTAAAAAGCTAATTAAAATGCAGTCCATTTGGTCAGAGACACCAAACGATATGATCTACCCAGATATCAAATTACAATTCAACAGCATGTGTGGCGTACAGATAAGACAATAAAACAGAGGTACTGATCTCTAATCTAAAAGCAGCATATTTCAGTCCAGCGGGCACTTTGAGATTATACTGCTGATGTTTATATGGGAACCGGTCATGGTTTATTCACATGTGTACCGCATGTGGTGGCTTTGTTTGCCCTAGCATGGTAAAATACTGTTTTGCTCTGCTTGTCTGCAAATAGCTGCATTGTTTGTCATTATGCTCACGTGTGTGGCGGGTGCTTGTGTTTATTCCCACCTCACCTGAAATTGGCTGCACTGAAATCCAGTTTGTTCAGGCATTTGGGAATACATTCTAATCACAGTTATGAGGAGTAACAAACTAAAAGACTAAAAACAAGGCCATGATATAATAAATTAAAGCCTTGGTGAGCATAAGAGACTACTTCTAAAACATTAACAAATCTTACCAAACCAAAACCATTGAATGGTAGTGTGTAATATATTTATGTTTATGGATATGTGTAGTATTATTATTAGAGCGAAATACTCAAGCACATTGCCTCCATTTTCCCATGAAGATTTTGAAAAAATCTCACGTTCATGGCTCCATTTCCCCATTGAAGATAGGAGGCACCATTTCCATTTTACAACTTATTGAAAGGGTTTTATGGGCCGTCTGTCATAGGGGACACGTGAAGGGTATGACATTGCGGGGTTAGAATCTAAAAGTCCTCTGTTCTCCAATTTACCACAGGACTGAGGCAGAATGGGCCAGTGTTGTTCCTCTAATCAGGCAGAGATGTATTCATTATCATTGCACTTGTATGCATTATCATAGATAGATAGATAGATAGATTTTGAGTCTCTTTTACTGGACTGGACCTCTGAGGTGCATTTTCCCCTGAACACTGTAGTGTTGGTCGTCTCTGACATCTCTCTGGACTGAGATATCTGGAGAAACACAAAGCAAGCGCTGTTCAGTGGTGGCTGTGTCCTCCTGTAAGACTCCCGACAGCTTCCTTTCACGGCTTTCTTCCACCAGTGTCCTTTGTTTTTGCCCAGAGTAGCACCAAACTGACACTGCACTAGTGCCGGGTTCCTGCCAGACCCAGAGGCAGAGATTTGTCCTTTCTGAAGAGAATAAAACAGTTTTAACAACCGTTTCTTTTGGGCAGCTTATAGTTAAGGTGAAATAAAGATCACTGGAACATATTTTTCTTTATCGTGTTTCATTATTTATTGCATATACAATCCATGAGTTTGTGAAATATTGAGGGTGTTTTATGGGAGTTGTAATGTGAGCAGTGAGCTCACTGTCCTGCTCCACTTTGCTCCCATAAACCCTTGCACATGTCCTGAGGCGGCCGTCTCCGCCTACTCGTCAAGGGGAATGATTACGATGCTTAACGATATGCAGATGAGGGCTCAGGGCAGTGTAAATCAGCTTTAGTGGCAGCAGGGTGTTGGATGAGTTTTACAATCTTGCGTAACTCCATTTAGACGAGCCGTGAATATTAACAGTGGATTATCGGAATGGAAATATGCTTCAATGGTGTCAAAAATAGCTGTTATTGAATCCATAAAATGTCAGATTTTTGTATCAGCCTTATATTTATAGCAGCTACAGTATTCTAGCTTCAAACGTTGCTGTTCGTGACTGCCAACTTCAAATTAGCAACAATTTGTGGGAAGTTCAGTTCATGGTAAGCCACGCTGTATAAAAACATTTGGGTTTGCGAACTTGATCCAAAATTTATGTTGGCCGGAGAATTGTTATTGTTTTGCAGCTGCCAGCATTATTATACGGTGAAGAGTGAAAGCGTGGTATTTTCAGGGATCTGTTTTAGGTGGCTGGTTGTTAGAGAGGATGTCGTCTCTGGAGGAGGCAGGAGGCTCTGAGGCGTAGTGCAGGTATTCTGCAGGAGCTGTCCTCTCTGATGTGGAGCTCTGTACCCGCCTCTGTCTCTGCCAGCACATCCAATTCATTATATGCATTCTTGCTTTGCTGAGAGACATGCTGAGAGAGTCTCGAGGGACTCAACTTTTTTTAGTGAAACAAAGCCGTGTGCAGTTTCTGAGGAAATTAAAAGGAAGAGACTGCAAGGAAGGTGTTTTTTTTTTTTTTGTTGGGTCTGCATCCTATTCTCCTTTCTCTTTTAGACAAGAGAAACAAACTAAATTTATGTTGGTGCTTTGAAATTCTTTGTTATATTTGCAGGTAATATAATAGGGGGGGGGGGATATGCCAGCACTTTACACTATGTATACAGCGTTACAGATTTTCAATAATGATAATAATAATTAATTAGATTACACTTTATTTTAAGGTGTCCTTGTTACAGTGTAATTATACATTTAAGTACTGAGTAATATTAATTAAGTACATGTACTTACTATATGGTTAGGGTTAGGATTAGGGTTTGGCTTAGGGTTACTTGCATGTAATTATGCATAATTAAGTGTTATTATAATAGTAAGTACATGCAACATGTGTAACAAGGTCACCTTAAAATAAAGTGTTACCATTCATTATATTCATTAAATAACTATTTTTTATTAGAAGTAATGAATAATTTTTAAGCTATAAGGACTACATTACTGCAGTGCTTATTCTTTTGGGTGGTTTTACTTTTTTCTGCATATTAAGCTGGGATAGAAAGTATTTTATCATCGACAAACTATAACAATACATGTAATAAATCGGTCACCAAAACCTAATTAGCTCAATGTTAGATCTTGAAACCAGACATATTACCCAGGCTAGAGTAACCACTGTAACCTTCTTAACTTTCCTCTCGGATCATTAAACAATAGTCGTGCCATCTCACATCGGCTTCCCTGAGGATGTTTGTACCGGGTTGCCATCAATCAAAAAAATACATGCCATAAATCTGACAAGTGCCAAAGAAGAAGAACAGCATGCAGCCGTGTGGTTGCTTTGATCATGCTGCGTGTTTCCGTGTGCGATATCAGCTGCTTCACCTCGGGCCACGAGCAGGTGCATGCGTGCCTTCCTTCCTATCAGAGCAATCAAAAGGAAGTGAGGTTGTGATATGTGTAGTCAGGTGGCGGGTGTACGATTATATGGAGGATGGAAATAGGATGCATTACTGAAGGGAAAAAAAACCTAACAGCTTGGATTGGTGAAACAGAAATTATTAAATTACATTAATGTTTTAGTTAATTAATTATGCATGTATTGTAACAGTTATTCATTGACTCAAGCCTTTATTGTGTATTTTTTGTTGTTGTTGTTTGCTCATGTTTATGTTGTTTTTGTTGTCTTTAATTTTGTTTTTAGTCTTTTTTTTCTTTGTTTGTTTTTCTGTACTTTTGTGTGCCTGGGTGTTTTGCTTTTTTGCTTTGTTTTGACTGTTGTATGTTTTCCATATTCTACCCTCCTCAGTCATTTTGTTTTGTTTAGAATTTTTTGATTTATGTGATTTCGTTGTTGTTTTTTTGTTTGCTTGCTTTTTTATCTTTATTTTTCTGTGTTTTTGTGTGCCTTTGGTGTTTTGCTTCTTTGTTTTGTCTTGGATGTTAATGTTTTTCGTAATCTACCCTCCTCAGTCATTTTGTTTTGGTTATTAGTTTCATTACAATTACCTAATAATTATAATGGTAGCTGACTCATCTCTTATCAAACATAGCTCACCTGTGCTATATAATACATCTTTTTTCAGATAAGAGAATTATCATTTCCAGCTCACACCAAAGCCTCATTATATTATTCTGGTAAATTTAGTTTGCCGTTTGCCTTTATAAAGGCATCAATAGTTTATTAGCATTTAAATATTAATCAAGTAAAATCTCAGAGTACGTCCCGTTTTTCTGGACTGTAAAACTAGCAAACCTGGTCAATCTAACACCCATGCGGCCGCTCCCCTCCAGGCTCCATGGTGAATGGTTGGGGCTCGGCTTCAGAAGATGATGACAGAAACTTCTCCAGCAGAAGGTCTAGTGCCGGCAGCTCCTCTGACGGCTCACTCTTCACCCATTGCAGCTTTGCACGAGCCCTGGTGGCGGCCGCAGACAAGGCTGGTTATTGTCTGGACGGCACCAGCCTGAGCAAGAGAGGTCGGTTTAGAGGAAACAGGAATTTGAGTCTGGAATCTGGTGTTTGCTGACTGCAATATGGCTCACTCTTAACAGAATGTTGCTTCTTTTCTGCTTTCTGATTTTACTCTGGTGAACTCCTGGTGAAGCAGCATGGTGCAAATACTAACATCTTTATGGATTTTGCTTGGTGGATTTTGGCGACGACTGTTTTCACTTAGCAGGGTTTTGGTCTTGCGCTTTCAGTGAAGTGATTCAGTTTACACTGTAAGCGAATGAATTAACTGGAAACAGATGTGGTGCTGATGAAAAGATCATTTTATTGTGCAATCAGGTTTGACTTCATGCCTCTTTCTGACTCTATGATGATCTTAATTATCTTCATAAAACCATTTTAACAATCTTAAACCTTTTCTCCAACAGGCTTTGCAATAGAAATGCAATGTATTGATTGATTCTGCTGCTTCTGAATCAAACTAACAAGCTATCCGCCCTCCACCTGAGCATCCTGCCATGCTTCCCTTTTAAGATTCATTCATCACCTCTGCGCGTAGTGTTTCGATAGCATTATGGGCTAAACAAGATTCTCTCTTTGCTCCCTGCAGATAAAGGTCTACCTCATAGACCTCGTCCCGCTAGCCCATTCTCCACAGATGGAAGCACGGTGGGCACACACAGCCTGGGTCACCAGCGGGCGGCAAGGCCCACCCGCAAACACAAAGGCCCTGGCGCTGCCCCGCACCGCCGCGATGCCAACGCTGATGGTGAGATTTAGTTCAGTTTTTACTGAACAGATCATTAGAAAAGCCTGGTTCAGGTTAGATCAATTTAATCCATGAAGACAAAACCAAAAGGACTAAATATTTCAGTCAATTAATTACATATGCTATGGTTTATGGTTTAATGTTGGTTTAGACCACATTTGAAGGCCAAAAACCAGTTTACTGTAGATGGCAGATCTCTCTTGCATGTTTTATTGAATTAATGTGGAAGTCAGCATTGGTTAACCCTCTGGGGTCCGAGGGTGTTTTGGGGCCTGGAAAAGTTTTGACATGCCCTGACATTTGTGCTTTTTTCAGTTGCTTACAAACATTTGAATGTCTAAAGTTTAATAACAAAGCACACCCTGTTTATTTTCTTTATTTTGCAAAAGCACAATGTTTTGTTGATATTGTGAGTGTACACAAATAAAAGTAGACCCTTTACAGATTTAAATGATGTATTACTCTTATATGTACGGTCAAGTATGAAGGAGCATTTTAGTTCTTTTCGCTGTCATCATTCAAATCTGCAAAAAGTTCCGCTGGCGGAACTGTCGACCCCAGGAGGTTAAAGGAGACAGATGGGGTCATAAGCAAATGCATGTAGCAATAGCTAATATCCAAGCCATTATAATCATTTATCAAACAGAATGAAATCAATATTACCCCATTTGAAGGCATTTATGTAGATACAAAAGACACCTACTGTCAAATGATGATAAATGCTCACTGTACATAAATGGAAATGCTGTACCTATTGTTTGAATTCAAATGGCCCTTCCTGCTTCTTTCCCAGATCTGCCTCCACCACCAGATCCTCCACCCTGCCAGACAGCTCGTGTCCAGGGGGTGAGGAACATGCCCAACCCCTCTGACCGCAAGGCTTCGTCCTTGGAGAGGCAACCCATGATGGGCCTGGAGGAGATAAAGATTTCCTTGGACCGGCAGGCCCGAACCTCACTGGAGCGCCACCAACAAGCCCTGGAAAGACTGGGATCCATAGAGAGAGGAGAGGAGAGCAGAAGAGGACAGAAAAACGGTCCTGTTTCAGGTAGGACGATTGATTGTTTACCTTGAGTTCTGTTGACATGTTGATATCTTAAATTGACTCATAAAGGAGAAACCACATTAGAATCAAGTGTTTTGAATACTGGTACCAAGCAGGGGATACTAGTTAGTTAGCAACTTGTCCAACAAGGGATTCTTGGTTAGCCAGTCTCCAAGAATCCAAACCAGCATATCCATGCTGTTCACCATGCTGTCCAGTCCTGCTCTTGGAAGGCCAAGGTCCTGTATTCAGCTCCAACTCTAACTAACACATCTCAACCAATCAAGGTCTTCAAGATGGCCAGAAACGTCTAGGTAGGTTAAAGCTAAACTTTTTAATGTGGCCCTCACAGAACAGGAATGGACACCCCTAAACTCCGTGGTCAACCAGCTTGTCCATAAAGACATTTTGGTCAACCAGCTTCCAAAATTTGAATGGTTCACCAACTAGTCCAGCTCAAAACCAGCTCGAACCAGCCTGGTCTTTAGTAGGTTAATTGACATCAGAAATGCCTTTTTGGTGTTTCAACTTGATGGTGAAATACGTTTTCATGAAAGACCTGAACCTGATCTTATATGTCCACATGAGTTAATCAGCCTGGCACAGTAAACATGCTCTTAATTCAGCAGAGCAGGTCTGTAAAATATTATCTTGCTATCGTGGTCATCAGAGGCAGATGTTTGACAGCGCCAGCTGTGGACCCTTGGCATTCATTTACGGTCCCTGCTGTAAGGAGGCCAAGCTGGAGCAAACAGATTGCCTTGTCTACCCCTCTTAGTGAGCTCTTCCATGGCCAACACCGGCCTTCTCCAGGAACCAGCAGACAGGAGGCACACTTAGTTGCACAGATGTACCCTAATCGTTCCAGCCCTCATTTTTCACTGTATACACACACACATGCTGCAATGAAGCCGAGCTCCATCTGTGCCTGTCTGATCGTTAGGATCCACCATTCTGGGTTTCCAGCCCAAACGAAGCATAAAGAACCAGGCCTGGATCTGGCGCGACACAGAGGGGGATGTGGGTTGGGCAAGCCGTATGGTTTGGTCTCATATGTCTTCATTTTCATCTTAAACTTTGGTGTGGAGATACGTTTAGCCAGCTTTGACCAAACCCTACTCATTAGCAATATGCTCCATACTGCTAATGAGTAGGGTTTTGTCAAAGCTGGCAAGAGTTGGTCACCTCAGTATTAGCCAGAAAGAAAGCAATCATGGACATGTTCCAAACTGGAAAAGCTAAAAAAGATTTATTTGCCACTAAATGTGTGGGTTTGGATATTTGTGTTTTCAGAAGAGGCCATATTGCCATACAACAAACCGTCATTCCCATCTCCCGGGGGCCACAGCTCTTCTGGGACGGCCTCCTCTAAAGGGTCAACAGGTCCTCGTAAAGGTGAAGGGACAAGGGGACAGCACCAGTGCTCCACCACGGAGCAGGGCGAAAGCAGCTACATGGGGATCAACGCGCAGTACTCTGGAGAGTTATGTGAGTCCGAGCAGGTTATTCTGGTACAACTTTACTAAGTTTGGAACCTTGATGGTTTAAAAGTTTCCCAGTCAAGTGTTGATGGTTTACCTTTTCTAGAGCTGTATAAAGAACTAACTGACTGGCATGTTCTCTTTGTATTGTTTTCAGAGTGAGCCTTTTTGTTGGAAACTGAAGAATGCCTTTATCTGTTCTGGAAATGCCTCACCTGCTTGGTGCAATGGACTCGTGAAGTGTCAGAAGGAAGAAGGGAAAAAAAGAGAAAAAAAATATGAAAAGGACAAACTGTAAATGTGATGTAAACATGGACATGCAACCCACAAGATCCGCAACATCCCCCACCTTCCTCCTTAAACTATTCATTCACAGAAAAAAGAAAAATGTTGAGGACAAAAAAGAAAAAAATTATGGAAGGCATGAGATCTGAGTCGCCCAGCTTTGGTGAACTTGCGAAAAGGAAATCGAGTTTCCTGTAAATATATTCTTGACATCAGAGATTGAAAATGACATTGTTATTGCATTGCTATGCAAGCCGAGTTCTGTTTGTGCGCTCTCCTCCCTCTTACGCTGTTGGTCATTTGTACGATATGTGAATTGATGGGCTGTGGTGCCATAGAAATTATGTTGTCATCCATCATTTGTTAATACTTCTCATGAATTAATTGTTGTCATTATAATAATTATTATAATTAATTATTTTCTTTTGCACTGCAATTTTGGTGATAAGCACAAAACCATAGCTCCTGCTGACATGAAGAATTGGAGCAAAGGAAATGTGAAGGGGAGTTGCTGTACTGTACTAGAGATAAGAAAATATATAACAGTGTACAGAGATATATTAAGATATGCCTGCATCTATGCCGGTGGAAAGACTTACAGTTCTGACGAAATGAGTTACGAGCTTTCGGCAGTGGGGTTCCTGAGAGAGGAACTGGACACTCTCCGTGCTGGAAATAGTCACAGTTGGGTTGGGAAACACGTCCAGCTGCCCCTACTAGTTAATATTACGCAATCTAGTCCACTTGGTCCAATTGGAACATATTTAGGCCAGATCTTTGAACTACACTGGACTACAGGTACCAACTTTGCCTCTTCCCCAGCTCACTGTTTTGCCGTTTGCCTTTGTTTTGCATTTGGTCCATCTGAGCATAGCAAAATTAATTGACACCAACTTGGCTAACATTTGGAGGTGATTAGTTCACTTTGGGCTTAGAGTTAAATTGGGCTTTTTCATTTTTTGATCTCCACTTAAAATTTGACGACAAGCACTTGAAAAGTGAGTAATTTAAAAGCCATATGAATAAGACTACAATACCCCTGCCTTCCCGTAAGGCTTCTGCCTTACTCTAGAGGTCTTGTAGACGTCAATTCCCATGCTTGTCTTGAGATTCTGCGTACGTCTCAAATCACGAGTGGAGAATCAATTCAGGTAACTTAATTTAACATTTTTGTTGAGCACTTAATGTATCTTGTTTTTTATATTTCTGACAATGTCCCAAAGCCTTGTTTTCGAGTTCTACTTTACCTATGCAGGGCACTGAATCACTAAGATCCGTAAATAAATCCACATTCATTGGTATCTTGATTCAGATAGTCGTCCTGTAATCACATGTGGAAGTCTCAAAATGACTATCGACCTAAAGCCAATAACATTATGCATTTGACTTTGCAAAAATACGGCAATATCTCTCACACGATCACTAGGGCATAGTGGTCGTACGATTTTTTCACGTCCTTGGTGTGTGCTGTACAATGTCAGTCAGACCTCCAGAAAACGTTTCCACTGTCTTTGGCCAATGCATAAAGTGCGTTTACCGAACAGTCCAGTTGGTTCTTTTTGCTTGATGAAATTTCACATATATAAATATATTATAAAAACAAAAGGCTGCTCAAAGGATATTTTTTACTGTGGAATCTTCAGGAGTAACTGGTGAAATGACTGTTTTCTTTCGTTATTTCCGTCTTCGTTTTTGCACAACGTTACTGAGGAGAGCCCTCCCAAGCCGGGCTGACGTGCCGTCCCGTGTCTTTCTCTCAAAATTCACATCATTTCAACGCTAGTGTCCAGCTGTTTGGAATAATGAGGTGCGAACGAGTATCTCAGGTTATTTTACATCTATATCGGTGGTGTTGATGTGGGTGTATATAAATGTATATATTCATATGCATCCTCACGTAAGAGAGTTCATTCCATGTTCGCTATTGAAACGTTTCTCCACCCCTTGTACCTGATGGATTGCTATGCTCTCTCTTCCTTTTTGGCCCTGTTGACAGTGGATTTCCATTCCTTTCTCTTCCATCCGAAAACATGCCGGTACACTAAATGTCCATAAGACAAAGATGTCACTTACAGAACATACCAAAATTAATATTGATATTTCTAATGTCTAATGCATTTTAGTGTCTTTTTTAATACTTGTTTCTTTAAACATCACAGTGTTGTTGTTTTTTTGTATTTATTAAGATAATAAAGGTATATTGTGAAAAATGCATCAAGGTCTGTGGCGTGTTTCTCCTCGATTTCCTGCACACTTACTGCGTTTCACACCGAGGCTTTGTTTTCACGGGCTGAATCGGCTGAATTTGAGACGCTCAGATCATTTTTTATCATTTGTATGCACAACCTCCTGCTGCCTTCTCAACAGAAAGCCTACAAAAGGATGATAAATACAGAAACGGCGACAAAAGTCATCAATCCTTTACAGAGATGGGACACATACTGTTTTTTAATGGCACATTCTGCCCCCCTTTCCATCTGTACTATACATATGTTTTTACAGAAATGTAGATTATGTACTATGAAAACTTTGAGCTTTTGAACGAAATCTCTAGAATCTTCTTCTATATGTGAATGGGAAAAAAAGCTTTAAGGATTTCATAATTATCAGAATCAGAATCAGAATGAGCTTTATTGCCAGGTATGTTTTCACATACGATGAATTTGTTTTCATGACAGAAGCTTCCGCAGTGCAACAGAATGACAGCGACAGAACAAAAACACAGATTATTCATAAATCTTCTCTTTTTGGCACATTCAGAGTACTTACCTAGAGTCGTTCAGACAGATAAATGTGTCTTTGAAGCAGTTAGATCAGAGGTCTGATGAATGAGATTACAAATGACCCATCCATCCTGCCAAATCCACTAAATTCTTAATGTAACTCATCCAAACCTGACATTCAGCTGACTAGGTTTCCTGTATGGTAAAGATGTAATACAGATGTCAAATGTCACATCAGTACAGGAAGCTGGTAAAAACAGATTACATTTATTGGTAATATTAAAGTAAATCTAAAAGTACCTTATCAAAGATCTAAAACTAAGTGGGTAGTTCCACAATTAGTTCTGGTACTATGAAAAGGTTCCCGCGGTGCGAAAGGTCCTATACACCCTCATGTAATTCCAAACCCATATGACTTGTTTTTCTTCTGTAGAACAATCTGTAGAACATAAACACAACAATGAAGGGGATGTTTTGTCAGTTTCATCAGTTGCATTTCAGCCATTTATACTGTACATTTCAAAGTGATTATATTGAAAGATTATATTGAAAAATAAAGGTTCCAAAGGTTTTTTTTTGCAGCAATGTCATAGAGGAACCATTTTTGGTTCCCCAAAGAACCTTTTAGCGAACAGTTCCTAAAAGAACTGTTTTATTCCAAGTCTGATGACCAATTTACTAATCTAAAGAACCTTTTGTGCAATGGAAAGGTTCCATTCATGATAAAGGTTCTTCATGAAACCATCAATGCCGGTAAATAACCTTTATTTTTAAGAGTGTAGTTTATATTCTTTCACGGGTACTGCATGGATTCAGACCATGAACGAAAAAGGAACCAAGCTGAGAGAAAAAGAGACAGACATGTGTAGTACAAAGCTGTTGTGTTCACTGAAAAATGATTGTGTTTGTGTTTATCCCATAACCCGGCTTGTGTTTTCATTTACTCTGACCCTTTGAGTAAACTACACACACACAGACTGCTGCGTCCTGTAAGCTTGCAAGGCTGAAAAATAATGACTAGCCCTTTTATTTCGCCAGCAAAGCAACTTTTCCTCTCTCTCCCAATTTCATGGCTTTTTCCTTCTCATTTTTCACCTGCTCCGCCTAAACGCATTTTCCCCTTTTCCCCCATTTATTGGGGGAAATGATTGCCTTCTATAGTTGCAATATTAACACCCCGTCTGCACCGTTTTATCGCTGGTCTTCATAGCAAGAAGATATGAGCTCACGCTTGACTATTGACTTTTAATTGTGTGCATGGAGCATGAGACGTTTAGTGTTTGATTTCATTGTGCCGGTGCTGCATTTGAACCCACGACTGCAGCAGATAAATACACGAGTGTGTGTTGCCATTTGTGGTTGTTGGAGATGTGCTGGTATGTGGGTTAATTAAAGGAAACATCCCTGGCTGCTGTTGCTGTTTTTTCCCCCGTCTCTTTGTATTCTCTCTCACACACAGTAATGAGGAATGGAAGCAGAGAGGCTGGTGGTACCAGTACAGCACAATTCATCATTCATGTCATCCATACCAAAGCCAGCTGCTCTGAACAGACACCGAAAATTAGCATTTCACCCCCATCCCTTCTCTCTCTCATGCACACTTTGAGTCGCTCTTCCTCATCAACCCCCGTTTTGTCACTTCCTCACTGTTAATGGTCCTCTCTTCTTATCATTTAACTGGGAAACTAATTCCTGTCTTTGATTACTGTCAACCGCAGCACAATGACCCATATCCGTCTCCTCTGGTTCTGCTGAAACTGCTGTTTCACTGGATTGGATGTCAAGACAAAGTAATTATTCTCTTTCTAAACTTCTGGTTTGAGTTTCTGTCTTGCAATATGTTTATATTTACGGTTTTATAAAGTGCAAAGTAATCAAAATACACAGTGTTTAGGCCTGTTTCTCCTGTGTAACTGCAAATGTCATTGTTTATTTCACACTAGACTTTGTACTACATTCATTTCCATTCATTTATGGTCATTAATTCGAATGTTGTTTGTTTGTTTTTCGACGCATGAATTCAGACCTGAGAATTCACATAGAGGATGTAAATGTAACGGACTGGACTGATCTCTTGGCTGAGAGTTTTCAGTGCTGTTGAGTCTGAAGTAACCTAAAGTGGAGCGTGACCGCAGCTTTACTACATTTATACTGCATACATTAAACATTTTTTATTTTTTATATTGACAATTATTACAAAAATTTTCATCATAAACTCTTATTTTCATAAGGAAGAGGGTCATATTTACATCCAAATGGTGGTAATCTACTCAGAAAAGAACCCACATCGTGGCTTTAAACTGCTTAAATATTCCTGTAGCTCAAACAATTGGCCATGATGCTATGCCAAGGTCATGGGTTCAATTCCCAGGGAATCCATGAGAGACAAAACTGTATATCTTCAATGCGTCACTTCAGATAAAATTGTTCGCCAAATGCTTACGTCATTATAAATGTAAATGCCAAGTCAAATGCATTCAGTCAGATTTCAGACATGGGGGGGGTGGGTTAATTGGGAGTTAAATA